GCTAACACGATGGGGGTCACGGCAACAAATGATTGAGCGGGTACTGGAGCAGGAGAAGGCAATATCGCAAGTCCTGAAAGCCGAAAAGAAAAACAGGCACCTGCTACCTACTTGGCAAGACCTTGATGTCTTGGAGTCTGTGAACAAGGCCCTCAGTCCACTGATGGAATTCACAGATGCACTCTCTGGTGAAGACTATGTTAGTGTGTCCTATCTTAAACCTGTGCTCCATCTGTTGAACAGCAGGGTTCTGTCTTCAGCTGACGATGACACAGACCTGACTAAGCATATGAAGATGACCATTCTCCAGTATTTAAATGAAAAGTTCTCGGACCCTGCCACCGATGATCTGCTCGATATGTCCTCCCTTGTCGATCCAAGATTCAAATGTTCATACATAGCCGACAACCGAAAAGATTATGTCAAGACTAAAGCAGTGGCAGAAATTCAAGCCCAACTGGAGAGGCAGATGCAAGCTGCACCCTCCACAGATTCACCACCACCTGCCAGCGCAGGAGCTGCTGAAGAAGTTGGAGAGCCTAAAAAGGTTAAGCGCAGTCTTGGCAGCTTTTTCAAAAAGGCATCCATTCCAGGCCCAGCTGCACTCCCTGACAGAGACACCATTGAAGTAGAGCTTCTTAGTTACCTGCAAGCACTGGATGTGGACAGAGAGGCAGATCCATTAGAGTGGTGGAAGATGCACCAGGCTAATTTTCCAAGAGTGGCAAGCCTGGCTCGTAAATACTTGTGCATTCCAGCCACCAGTGCCCCATCAGAAAGGGCATTTAGTACTGGTGGCAATATTGTTACGTGCCACCGGTCTGCACTAAAGCCAGAGAATGTGGACAGGCTTGTGTTCTTGGCTAAAAATCTGCCGTAAACTGGTGTGAAACTAATGCTCAGTGTTTTCTTTTGTCACTGACGCACACAGTACACAAAGCTTGTTTGTTGTTTATCTTAAGTTATCTTTGCATTCAGTGTACATGTACCTCAAGTCTCTAAAGCTAATTGTTGATTTGCACTCAAAAGTCATTTTAAAATGTTAGGTTTACAGTTACAGTCTACCGTCTGTGACCCAAATTATACCGCGATATGAATTTTAGGCCATATCGCCCACCCCTATCGCAGATCATGATACTCGATGATGACCCTCTTCTGTTTCTTTGTTTTTAAATCTGACTTGTGTGTGTATTATTTTCTTTGTTTTTTTATGTTTAATGTTAAGCATATATACACCTGCAGCTTACTTACTTATTGTGTGACCATCTATTTCTCCGTATCTGTGGCAGACCCTGCGTAATTACACACGGCTATTTGTTTTGTCTCATTCACTTCTGGCAAAACAACGTATTCCTTCATTAGTTTTGTACATAAAGTCCCATAAACGCAGCGATGGCAGAGCTATGGCAAAGCGCTGTGGGGACAGTCTCACGGGCAGAGCGCACTGCAGCGGGCGCACTGCAGCGGGCGCACTGCAGCGGGCGCCACACAGGTCCCTCACTCGCCGTATGTGGTGCGTTTTGGAGTTTTTCTGTGATATCGTGGACTCATACGCATCCTTTCTCTCACAGAGATTGCTCCATTGCATTCACAAGAAGATGTCACTGACGCTTGACCCAGATGAGTCACTGACGCTTGACCCGGATGAGTCACTGACGCTTGACCCGGATGAGTCACTGACGCTTGACCCGGATGAGTCACTGACGCTTGACCCGGATGAGTCACTGACGCTTGACCCGGATGAGTCACTGACGCTTGACCCGGATGAGAGTCACTGACGCTTGACCCGGATGAGAGTCACTGACGCTTGACCCGGATGAGAGTCACTGACGCTTGACCCGAATGAGAGTCACTGACGCTTGACCCGGATGAGAGTCACTGACGCTTGACCCGGATGAGAGTCACTGACGCTTGACCCGGATGAGAGTCACTGACGCTTGACCCAGATGAGAGTCACTGATGCTTGACCCAGATGAGAGTCACCGCTGAGATGTTAATATTCATTTCTAAAGAGATGAGCGCTGCAGTGGGTCTAGGCCAGGGGTCACCATCGCGGTGCCCATGGGCACCAGGTCGCCCGTAAGGACCAGATGAGTCGCCGTAAGGACCAGATGAGTCGCCGTAAGGACCAGATGAGTCGCTCTCTGGCCTGTTCTAAAAATAGCTCAAATAACCGCACTAAAGCCTAGTGTAGCTGCGCGGCGTGGAGCTTACGGTGACGTGACGTGACTTGCATGGATCACCGCAAGGCCCTTACGTAGCCTGCCGCACACCCTCGAAACGGTAGACAAGCTCCGCTGTGATTGGTCCGTGTGTGAGAGAAGCTCCGCTGTGATTGGTCCGTGTGTGAGAGAAGCTCCGCTGTGATTGGTCCGTGTGTGAGAGAAGCTCCGCTGTGATTGGTCCGTGTGTGAGAGAAGCTCCGCTGTGATTGGTCCGTGTGTGAGAGAAGCTCCGCTGTGATTGGTCCGTGTGTGAGAGAAGCTCCGCTGTGATTGGTCTGTGTGTGAGAGAAGCTCCGCTGTGATTGGTCCGTGTGTGTGTGTTTTGGGCGGAAGCTTGGAGCAGCTGCAGGAGAATGGACGAGGCACTTCGGAGCAGAGAGCTTCGTGCTTCGAAGGAACCAAAGGAAAAGTAGTTTGGGCTCGTGGCTCAGAGCCTGATCTACGCTGGGACTGTGGACTAGAGTTCTGTTGGATATCTAACTTGTATATAACTCATAACATATATATATATATATAACTTAAATAAACTGTGCAGTCGTTTCTCTTGCACTGTTCCTGTCTTGTTTGAGTCGTAGCTGCGTCTGTTGCATTTGCAGTTGTAAATCGTTGATGTTTGTCTCAGATATTTACCACTTATTGTTTTTCTGTTTGTGCTGAATACACTTTAATAATCACTGTAATATAGTAATAATATATATAATAATAATAACTATGTTTCCAACAGAACTGTGTCTTTATTCACAGCATCACAGTTAAATGAGTTGAAAAGATGAGTTTAGAACGGTCACATAAACCTGCAGTTAGGGCTGGGCGATATGTAAGGGATAACGTATATTACGCAGGTCATTATCAGAAAATAAGTACCTTCAGGGCGAAGCGGACCCCGACGCGCAGCGGCTTTATACCAACAGAACACACAATATAAACTTCAGTTCACTTTTAGGAATGCCGTAAGGTTTATTTAATGACAGAAATAAAAATAGTTCCCAAAGGCTTTCCCGTGGCTATGCTAGCAACAGTTAGGCTAACAACTTCCAAACTAGAACTCTCTGGAACTGTATGAAAACTGAACACAGAATCCTGAACATCAGCGGTGAGTGACCCAAACATAAACTTAACCTAAATCAATAATTCGATCGAGTTTTCAGGGCATTTGGGAATGTTCCAGAATGAAAAGATTTTGGATCTGTGATTATAAGTCATATAAACAGTTAGGTTAGCGTGCTCCGGCAGTCTCACTTCTGTGCCTTGACAGAGTCTGCTTTTGTCCACGGCGCCTTCTGCATATTCATCACTATTTTAACCTTCCCAGGGCGCTGGTGTCCAGAACATGGACAGGGTTAAGTAGTTTGTGGATTGTAGAACATCAAGATTTGTTCTTGAAAATGTATCGTTCTCATAAACAGTGTGCTAGTGTTTTCATTTGTGTCTTCTTTGAACAATTGCAGAGTCCGCTGGTGGTTTACCAGCGACACGCCTGTAAAAAGAAAAACACAAAATGAGCCAATAGAGCAACATTAGAGTCTCTCCCCTAATTTGACTGTCACCATGTAGAGACCATGTGCATCCGACTGTTAAGAGAGGGGCAGGGGAAAGCAGGGGAGGACGGAGAGGTGGGTGGTTTTGGGTGTTGGATGTGGAGGTGGACAGTGGTGCTCTGAGGCAAATTGTCTATGTTTGTATAGATCAGGGGTTGGCAAATCAAAAGGTTCAGAGCCACAGAGAGCCATACTTTAAAAACCTAAACCTAAAAACCAACCTAAAAACATATGTCTGGAGCCGCAAAAAAATAACAGCCTTGTATAAGGCTTATATGAAGATAACACAGGCTGCAGCTGTATTAGCTGTATTAGCCTAATATGTAAATGACAAAGTAAAGGCTACAAATACATAATAAACATTCATGATTATCAAATGTGTATTTTCACCACGTGACTCTGTTTTAACTTTAACTTACATTGTTTTGCCTTCATGCAGTTGTATAAATACAGTAAATAAATCTGCTTTTGGCTCAGAGTTCAGAGCACTGTTCATATCGAAAAGATGGAGCTGAATGTCCTTAATGGCCCTTTCTTTCACCGTCGTTTTGAAGTCTGAAAATAGGTGCTCTGAATTGATGATGAATGAATCTTTCAGGTAATCGGCGTGAACAGTGTTTAGTGCTTCAGACAAAACGTCTCATTACAAACATGAAGCAGTCCTTCCTCATTGACTGAAAGCAAATGTTCTTATTCTTAGTCCAGTTTTATTGACTCTCTTTATCTTTGGGATCCATGCACACTTACAGTCTATGATGCACACACGCCGGTTTGTTTAGAGCAGGGGTGGTGTTTATAAAGTTTTTTTTTGCAGCTTTGTGATAAACACACATTTTGAAAACCACTTTTATTGTTAAAAAAAAAAAAAAGTGTTTTTCTGCATTGGCATTTTCTGATTTGCAAATTCAAATGTTGATGGTTGATGGAAATGCCACAACCATCCCACCCTACTCATTTATGAAAACCTAACAAACTGCCTCTTGTTACTTACATCAGTTTGTTTGTATCACTTTCATGTTCTTTGTTTTGTCCGCACTCTGGCATATGTCCAACAGGAGACTAGACTGGACAGTCTGAAGACTTCTTTTCATGTTCCATTTTCATGTGTAGTGGCTTCTCTTCTGTTTTTCAGCCTTGCATTAACGAGCCCTCTGGTTGGATGGGTCCATGGAAGCTCTCCCTTGATTGCAGCTAGTGCAAATCCAGGCGCTGCTGGAACCTGCGGAAAATTGCCAACATGTACAACCAGTATGGGGACCAGTGGTCGGACCAAGATCCGTATGATGCCAACTTGTACCCGGAACATGACCCTGGAATGGGGACTGCCAACATGGGACATTCAAACATGGGGTATCCCAAGATGGGCCAACCCAAGATGGGGTATCCCAAGACGGGCCAACCCTTAAATTCTTCTGGAGCTTCTGGATCTGCAAAACCTCTGTCCAACATGTCGATGCACTCCCAGCCCATGTCCTACAGACCAGAGCACAGAAGAATGGACCTGAGCCGAGGGCGTGAAGAGGTTTCTCAGGCACCCAGCCGCATGGATCCCCAAAGAGAAGACACCTACCCTCCATATTCCAGCCACAGTAACCCCCAAAGAGAAGACACCTACCCTCCATATTCCAGCCACAGTAACCCCCAAAGAGAAGACACCTACCCTCCATATTCCAGCCACAGTAACCCCCAAAGAGAAGACACCTACCCTCCATATTCCAGCCACAGTAACCCCCATGGGGAAGACAACTACCCTCCATTTTCCAGCAACAGAAACCCCCAAAGTGAAGACAACTACCCTGCATACTCCAGCAACATAAACCCCCAGAGAGAACAGAGAGAATCCACCTTCCCTCCCTATTCCGGCCACAAGAACCCTCAAAGAGAATCCACCTTCCCTCCCTATTCCAGCCACAAGAACCCTCAAAGAGAAGACAGCTACCCTCCCTATTCCGGCCACAAGAACCCTCAAAGAGAAGACAGCTACCCTCCCTATTCCAGCCACAAGAACCCTCAAAGAGAAGACAGCTACCCTCCCTATTCCAGCCACAAGAACCCTCAAAGAGAAGACAGCTACCCTCCCTATTCCGGCCACAAGCACCCTCAAAGTGAAGACAACTACCCTCCATACTCCAGCAGCATAAACCCCCAGAGAGAACAGAGAGAAGACACCTACCCTCCATATATGACCTACCCTGCTCGCCCGCCACCCAGAGCCCCGGACACTGACAGCGGTGTCGGCGAATCACTGAGTTGGCTTTTGAACCGAAGCACCTCCTCAGTGGAACGTCCAGTTGCGACATCATCTTCAGGCTTCCTGAGCAGCAAAGATGGTGATTCTGTTTTTCCACAATTGAGCAATTATCTGGACCGAGTGACGTCTCCACCTCAAATAAAAGTCGCCAAGTGCAGCGCAGACACGGCCACCAGCATCCTCCGCCAGTTTAAGCTGGAATGGACCATGGACTATACTATGAACAGGTCAAACTCTAGTGAGCCAGCCAACAGACCTGTGCCGTTAATGGCGTTGGATCCAAAACCAACATCGATGGACGCAGATAAGCGCTTGCCGCCGCCCGCCATGATGCAGGACTACGCAGGTGTTACTCCCAGGGTCTTTCCAGATTCCTGTTGTCTCTGTAACACGGAATATGCACACATGAAGGTGAGTGACGACTGCTCTCTTCTCTTTATTCAAAACACAAACACTTTAGTCGCTTTGCCTGTTTGCCTTCTCTGCTGTGCTCGCCCCGCCTCCTTCAGCTCCCCCTCGGCCCCTCAGGAGAATAACAAGGGAGTGATGCGACCCACTCACCTCCCCCTCCAGCTCAGGCCCCTCCCCCACCAGCTCAGGCCCCTCCCCCACTGCCTTATTCTACGGCGCTGACTACAGCCCCTTTCTTTTCTTATTTCTGAATTTTCGTTCTTCAAATATCCCTGTTTTCATTGGTCTGAATTATGTCCCCTTTAGTACATTTCTGAGATAGTGACTTGATGATGCCTCTTTAAAGTGCTGCTGGTCTAACATGTGTGTTGCTTGTACAGGAATGGGTTGCCCACAAGAACTCCTCCCTCCACATCGCAAAGTGCCAGTATCTACGAGAACTGTCAGTAACTTTCATCATATTACTTCTCCATAAATGATCCAAAAGTGCTGTAATAGTGTGATGTCATTGTATTTCTATGACATCACACTCGGAACAGTTTTAGTGTGAATGTTGATAGTTTAAGACCTGTGGCAGAGGCTTCAGGTTGTGTGTTTGTGGAAGCTGACATCCTTTACAGTTGTCAAAATACTGGATTATTGATCTGCGTATATTTAAATCTGCATGTTTGTCTTGCAGTTTTCCGGAGTGGGACGGAGAAATCCCAATCAGGTAAAAATCAAGAATGGCATGTTCAGATTAATATCAACCACATTACAGCCAGGAGGGGCGCCAGTGGCTCTCTGGTCATGCTGTTTGAAGAATACATTGTGTTTTTAGTTTGTCCCAACAGAAAACACAAGTCTGACCATATCTTTAGAAACATGTTCTTTCTTGTAAGACAAAGCCCTGTGAGTCACTATTTCACCCTTTGAGCCGAGTAAGGGTACTCTTTTTTCATAGTGGGAAACGACTTCCACTACTCTGGCCCTCACCATGAGTTAAATAGATGTGGGACTGGAACCTGTAGATGTGGGACTGGAACCTGTAGCTGTGGGACTGGAACCTGTAGCTGTGGGACTGGAACCTGTGGATGTGGGACTGGAACCTGTAGCTGTGGGACTGGAACCTGTGGATGTGGGACTTGAACCTGTGGATGTGGGACTGGAACCTGTAGATGTGGGACTGGAACCTGTAGATGTGGGACTGGAACCTGTAGATGTGGGACTGGAACCTGTGGATGTGGGACTGGAACCTGTGGATGTGGGACTGGAACCTGTGGATGTGGGACTGGAACCTGTAGATGTGGGACTGGAACCTGTGGATGTGGGACTGGAACCTGTGGATGTGGGACTGGAACCTGTAGATGTGGGACTGGAACCTGTGGATGTGGGACTGGAACCTGTGGATGTGGGACTGGAACCTGTGGATGTGGGATTTACAGTCTATGCCTGGTCCCAGCCATGGACTGTAAATATTAACGGATGTTCATATATGAGGGAGTGAGACCCTGACATAGATGAGGGAGTGAGACCCTGACATAGATGAGGGAGTGAGACCCTGACATAGATGAGGGAGTGAGACCCTGACATAGATGAGGGAGTGAGACCCTGACATAGATGAGGGAGTGAGACCCTGACATAGATGAGGGAGTGAGAGACCCTGACATAGATGAGGGAGTGAGACCCTGACATAGATGAGGGAGTGAGACCCTGACATAGATGAGGGAGTGAGACCCTGACATAGATGAGGGAGTGAGACCCTGACATAGATGAGGGAGTGAGACCCTGACATAGATGAGGGAGTGAGACCCTGACATAGATGAGGGAGTGAGACCCTGACATAGATGAGGGAGTGAGACCCTGACATAGATGAGGGAGTGAGACCCTGACATAGATGAGGGAGTGAGACCCTGACATAGATGAGGGAGTGAGACCCTGACATAGATGAGGGAGTGAGACCCTGACATAGATGAGGGAGTGAGAGACCCTGACATAGATGAGGGAGTGAGACCCTGACATAGATGAGGGAGTGAGACCCTGACATAGATGAGGGAGTGAGACCCTGACATAGATGAGGGAGTGAGACCCTGACATAGATGAGGGAGTGAGACCCTGACATAGATGAGGGAGTGAGACCCTGACATAGATGAGGGAGTGAGACCCTGACATAGATGAGGGAGTGAGACCCTGACATAGATGAGGGAGTGAGAGACCCTGACATAGATGAGGGAGTGAGACCCTGACATAGATGAGGGAGTGAGACCCTGACATATATGAGGGAGTGAGACCCTGACCTAGATAAGTTGTGTAGATCAGTGTTTTTCAACCAGTGGGCCGTGGCACGTTGGTGGGCCTTGAGATGTTTATTACTGAGCCTTAGAAATGGTTCAATATCCGCTGCTTGCTCAAAATTATGTGAAATTAGAAATATTTGTTTGTGTATTGTTTGATTTTCTAAATAATACACATTTATGATAATGACTTTGCTCTGTTAAAAAAGTTTGATTTTGGTATGAAATGCAGTTGTTGTGGCACGGCTCATAGAGGTTGGGGACCACTGGTGATGCAGATGTGGGACTGGAACCTTCTGATGTGATGGGTATAGAACTCATGTTTAAAGACTGTCTTCTCTGCAGAATGTCCCTGCGCAGGAAGGAGACCGGCTCAGGACAACACAGGTCTGTCCTCTCTGCACTTTATACAATGTACCATCGTCTCAGCACTTTATCCAGGGCCATGTGTGTGTTATATTGACGTGTGTGTGTGTGTTGTATTGACGTGTGTGTGTGTGTTGTATTGACGTGTGTGTGTGTTGTATTGACGTGTGTGTGTGTTGTATTGACGTGTGTGTGTGTTGTATTGACGTGTGTGTGTTTCCTTCCAGAGCTGCCTCCCCTCTACGCAGTGCCTCTCTGTCAGAGAGCACTTCCCCACAGCGTAAAAGGCAGAGACAGAGGAGCCCAGAGAGGACCACCTCCCCAGTGCGAACAAGACACCTGTTCCCCGTCCTGAACCCCCACCTCCACAGACCCGACTCTCACTCAAGGACCTCCCCCAAAGCTCCTGAGCCGAGGTGAGGCCCCTCCTGTTCTGGTTCTGTCTGTGCTGGTCCTGTCTGTTCTGGTCCTGTCTGTTCTGGTCCTGTCTGTTCTGGTCCTGTCTGTTCTGGTTAGGGATGTAAATCGGTGACCGTTTAACCGGTGGTTGACCGTCACAGCGTTAACCGGTCAAAGCTGTCGGTTAAAGAAGAGAAAGGGGAGGTCTCTTCATGACACTGTTTTAAGCCTTATTCTCACGATGAGACGAGCGGGTCTGTATCTAGCAGTGTGCGCCAATGTATCAGTAAACTCTGGGCCGACTCTCACGCCGCACGCGCCACATATGCACGCACACACACACACGCGCCACATATGCACACGCGCCACATATGCACACACGCACACGCGCCACATATGCACGCACACATGCACACGCTCCACATATGCACGCACACACACACACGAGCCACATATGCACGCACACACACACACGAGCCACATATGCACGCACACATGCACACGCGCCACATATGCACGCACACATGCGCACGCGCCACATATGCACGCACACATGCACACGCGGCACATATGCACGCACACATGCACACGCTCCACATATGCACGCACACATGCACACGCTCCACATATGCACGCACACACGCACACGCGCCACATATGCACGCACACATGCACACGCGCCACATATGCACGCACACATGCACACGCTCCACATATGCACGCACACATGCACACGCGCCACATATGCACACACACATGCGCACGCGCCACATATGCACGCACACATGCACACGCGCCACATATGCACGCACACATGCACACGCTCCACATATGCACGCACACATGCACACGCGCCACATATGCACACACACATGCGCACGCGCCACATATGCACGCACACATGCACACGCGCCACATATGCACGCACACATGCACACGCTCCACATATGCACGCACACACGCACACGCGCCACATATGCACGCACACATTAACACGCGCCACATATGCACGCACACATTAACACGCGCCACATATGCACGCACACATGCGCACGCGCCACATATGCACGCACACATGCACACGCGCCACATATGCACGCACACGCGCCACATATGCACGCACACATTAACACGCGCCACATATGCACGCACACATGCACACGCGCCACATATGCACGCACACATGCACACGCGCCACATATGCACGCACACATGCACACGCGCCAAATATGCACGCACACATGCACACGCGCCACATATGCACACACACATGCACACGCTCCACATATGCACGCACACATGCGCACGCGCCACATATGCACGCACACATGCACACGCTCCACATATGCACGCACACATGCACACGCGCCACATATGCACACACACATGCGCACGCGCCACATATGCACGCACACATGCACACGCTCCACATATGCACGCACACATGCACACGCGCCACATATGCACGCACACATGCACACGCGCCAAATATGCACGCACACATGCACACGCGCCACATATGCACGCACACATTAACACGCGCCACATATGCACGCACACATGCACACGCGCCACATATGCACGCACACATGCACACGCGCCACATATGCACGCACACGCGCCACATATGCACGCACACTTGCGCACGCGCCACATATGCACACACACATGCGCACGCGCCACATATGCACGCACACATGCACACGCGCCACATATGCACACACACATGCGCACGCGCCACATATGCACGCACACATGCACACGCTCCACATATGCACGCACACATGCACACGCTCCACATATGCACGCACACATGCACACGCGCCACATATGCACGCACACATGCGCACGCGCCACATATGCACGCACACATGCACACGCTCCACATATGCACGCACACATTAACACGCGCCACATATGCACGCACACATGCGCACGCGCCACATATGCACGCACACACGCGCCACATATGCACGCACGCATGCACACGCGCCACATATGCACGCACACATGCGCACGCTCCACATATGCACACACACATGCGCACGCTCCACATATGCACCCACACATGCACACGCGCCACATATGCACGCACACATGCACACGCGCCACATATGCACGCACACATGCACACGCGCCACATATGCACCCACACATGCACACGCGCCACATATGCACACACACATGCACACGCGCCACATATGCACGCACACACGCGCCACATATGCACGCACACATGCGCACGCGCCACATATGCACGCACACATGCATACGCTCCACATATGCACGCACACATGCGCACGCGCCACATATGCACACACACATGCGCACGCTCCACATATACACCCACACATGCGCACGCGCCACATATGCACGCACACATGCACACGCGCCACATATGCACGCACACATGCACACGCGCCACATATGCACGCACACATGCACACGCGCCACATATGCACACACACATGCGCACGCGCCACATATGCACGCACACATGCACACGCTCCACATATACACGCACACGCGCCACATATGCACGCACACATGCACACGCGCCACATATGCACGCACACATGCACACGCGCCACATATGCACACACACATGCACACGCGCCACATATGCACGCACACATGCACACGCGCCACATATGCACCCACACATGCACACGCGCCACATATGCACGCACACATGCACACGCGCCACATATGCACGCACACATGCGCACGCGCCACATATGCACGCACACATGCACACGCGCCACATATGCACGCACACATGCACACGCGCCACATATGCACGCACACATGCGCACGCTCCACATATGCACGCACACGCACCACATATACACGCACACGCGCCACATATGCACGCACACATGCACACGCGCCACATATGCACACACACATGCACACGCGCCACATATGCACGCACACATGCACACGCGCCACATATGCACGCACACATGCGCACGCGCCACATATGCACACATACATGCACACGCGCCACATATGCATGCACACATGCACACGCGCCACATATGCACGCACACACGCACACGCGCCACATATGCACGCACACTTGCACACACACACGCGCACTTTCCCCCCCTCCATTGATACGTAACATCCACACACATCCTCTCCCCCCTCTGTTACCGCCTGCTAGTTGCACACTGGTGCGGGTCAGAACTACATTTGAGTTTATATTTACACGCACATACATGTATTGTACACATACATATACACACACACACAACATATACACACACACACACATACATGTATTGTACACACACACATACATATACACACACACACACACATACATGTATTGTACACACACACACATACATATACACACACACACACATACATGTATTGTACACACACACACATACCGGCCTGTCGCGCTCCTCTGTGTCACGCAGCCCAAAGGATTCAAATACGCGGCTTCAGACAAACCACATGGATCATGTGTGTGCTGCTGGTCCTTACCATCAGCTCCAAACACATCACTTTTAACCTTTAGCAGAGACCAGTGAGACGCGTCACTCTCTGCCCTGACCATGTGGACGTCCCTCGCTGCTCTGACCATGTGGACGTCCCTCGCTGCTCTGACCATGTGGACGTCCCTCGCTGCTCTGACCATGTGGACGTCACTCGCTGCTCTGACCATGTGGACGTCACTCGCTGCTCTGACCATGTGGACGTCACTCGCTGCTCTGACCATGTGGACGTCCCTCACTGCTCTGACCATGTGGACGTCACTCGCTGCTCTGACCATGTGGACGTCACTCGCTGCTCTGACCATGTGGACGTCACTCTCTGCTCTGACCATGTGGACGTCTCTCGCTGCTCTGACCATGTGGACGTCACTCGCTGCTCTGACCATGTGGACGTCACTCGCTGCTCTGACCATGTGGACGTCACTCGCTGCTCTGACCATGTGGACGTCCCTCACTGCTCTGACCATGTGGACGTCACTCGCTGCTCTGACCATGTGGACGTCACTCGCTGCTCTGACCATGTGGACGTCACTCGCTGCTCTGACCATGTGGACGTCACTCGCTGCTCTGACCATGTGGACGTCACTCGCTGCTCTGACCATGTGGACGTCACTCGCTGCTCTGACCATGTGGACGTCACTCGCTGCTCTGACCATGTGGACGTCACTCGCTGCTCTGACCATGTGGACGTCACTCGCTGCTCTGACCATGTGGACGTCCCTCACTGCTCTGACCATGTGGACGTCACTCGCTGCTCTGACCATGTGGACGTCACTCGCTGCTCTGACCATGTGGACGTCACTCGCTGCTCTGACCATGTGGACGTCACTCGCTGCTCTGACCATGTGGACGTCACTCGCTGCTCTGACCATGTGGACGTCACTCGCTGCTCTGACCATGTGGACGTCACTCTCTGCTCTGACCATGTGGACGTCACTCGCTGCTCTGACCATGTGGACGTCTCTCGCTGCTCTGACCATGTGGACGTCTAGGCCTGTCACGATAACAAATTTTGCTGGACGATTAATTGTCTCAGAAATTATTGCGATAAGCGATTATATTGTCGTTCTGAGATCATTTGCATCGATTAGAATGATAATGCAGGTACACCTTTTCAAAGAGAATAAACTTTTATTTTTAACGAATATTTAACGCTAGAACACAATAAATTAACAAACAACCAAAAACAATAAATAACATAGACTCAGTCTCTTAACAAAAAATGACCAGGAATAAAACTGCCAGGACCTTTGTAAAGAAAATATGAAACAGATGCCTCAAATGTCAATAATTTCTCAGACTTTATGACAGATTACAAGAAAGAAATACCAACATGTTGACTTTGTGTGGCTTAAGACAGGATCTCTCAGGAGTAGTCCCACCTCCCCACACACCACCAGGCGAATGACAAGTGACTGACATGTGGGTTCACCAATGGGGCGTACAGAAGTCCTGCTGCGGTAGCGCCCACCGGAAGTAGCGGGGCGGGCTTTGATGCTAACAGCTAAGCTAGCGGGTTTTTTGTGTAAAGTTCTACTCCAAGAATGCAAGTCTGCAGCATCTCTGTGTTCAGAGACCTTCTAGAGACTTTATATAACAGCAGTATGTGTTCACGGAGGTGCGCCATAAGTTTATTTTATTGGTATGGTACGGTACTTCTGCATCGGCGAACACGCTAACGCTAGCTGCGCTAGTATAGTCACTAATCAAGCCTGAATGAGAACTCAGCTGCCGGCATATGTTCACAACTACTGTGTCCCCCATTGTCAATCCTGGTTAAGTCCTGGTTTAGGTCCTGTTTTGGCTGTATTTTGTATTTTTGAGTAATTTCCGTCTGCTTGCTAGACCGCTAATGTTCCCGTGGCCACTTTGCGGCTCTCTGACCCGAGAGAGACGGGGGAAACAAACAAGCATGCAAATGGGATTTATCGCGGCCAGAAAAGTTATTGAGCAAATTTTATTTATCGTGCGATTAATTGATTTATTGACTATCGCGACAGGCCTATGGACGTCTCTCGCTGCTCTGACCATGTGAACGTCTCTCGCTGCTCTGACCATGTGAACGTCCCTCGCTGCTCTGACCATGTGAACGTCCCTCGCTGCTCTGACCATATGGACGTCACTCGCAGCTCTGACCATGTGGACGTCTCTCGCTGCTCTGACCATGTGGACGTCACTCTCTGCTCTGACCATGTGGACGTCTCTCGCTGCTCTGACCATGTGGACGTCTCTCGCTGCTCTGACCATGTGGACGTCTCTCGGTGCTCTGACCATGTGAACGTCCCTCGCTGCTCTGACCATGTGGACGTCTCTCGCTGCTCTGACCATGTGGACGTCACTCGCTGCTCTGACCATGTGGACGTCACTCTCTGCTCTGACCATGTGGACGTCACTCTCTGCTCTGACCATGTGGACGTCACTCTCTGCTCTGACCATGTGGACGTCTCTCGCTGCTCTGACCATGTGGACGTCACTCTCTGCTCTGACCATGTGGACGTCTCTCGCTGCTCTGACCATGTGGACGTCTCTCGCTGCTCTGACCATGTGGACGTCTCTCGCTGCTCTGACCATGTGGACGTCTCTCGCTGCTCTGACCATGTGGACGTCTCTCGGTGCTCTGACCATGTGAACGTCCCTCGCTGCTCTGACCATGTGGACGTCACTCTCTGCTCTGACCATGTGAACGTCCCTCGCTGCTCTGACCATGTGGACGTCACTCGCTGCTCTGACCATGTGAACGTCCCTCGCTGCTCTGACCATGTGGACGTCACTCGCTGCTCTGACCATGTGAACGTCCCTCGCTGCTCTGACCATGTGGACGTCACTCTCTGCTCTGACCATGTGGACGTCTCTCGCTGCTCTGACCATGTGGACGTCTCTCGCTGCTCTGACCATGTGGACGTCTCTCGCTGCTCTGACCATGTGGACGTCTCTCGCTGCTCTGACCATGTGGACGTCTCTCGGTGCTCTGACCATGTGAACGTCCCTCGCTGCTCTGACCATGTGAACGTCCCTCGCTGCTCTGACCATGTGGACGTCTCTCGCTGCTCTGACCATGTGGACGTCACTCACTGCTCTGACCATGTGGACGTCCCTCACTGCTCTGACCATGTGGACGTCACTCGCTGCTCTGACCATGTGGACGTCCCTCGCTGCTCTGACCATGTGGACGTCCCTCACTGCTCTGACCATGTGGACGTCACTCTGCTCTGACCATGTGGACGTCACTCGCAGCACAGCAGAATGGGAAGATTAAAAAGCAGTTCTCAAAGGAGCTGAAGCTGTTGCTGGTTTTGGCGCCGCTGTCTCGGTTCTGATCCAGTAGAACTCAGAGCTGCACTTATGAAAAGTACGGCTCGAAATGACTGTTATTTCAAAGAACGTGGACTATTTTAAACTACGCGGTTATTTAACCGGTTTCAACCGGTTAATGAGGCTCGGTGGTCGGTCATGAAAATTCATTGTTTTATACATCCCTAGTTCTGGTCCTGTCTGTTCTGGTCCTGTCTGTTCTGGTCCTGTCTGTTCTGGTCCTGTCTGTTCTGGTCCTGTCTGTTCTGGTCCTGTCTGTGCTGGTCCTGTCTGTTCTGGTCCTGTCTGTTCTTATTCTTGGTTTTTTTTTTTTTCACTGCACAGAAGCTCGTCAGAAGAGCGCAGGAGGAGACGGAGAGAGCAGGAGCACAACGCGAGGTACTGGGTTCAAAGCCCACAGACAGGAAGGAAAACACCCAGATATGTCCATATAAGCCCAGGACTGGACTGTGTCCATATAAGGACAGGACTGGACTGTGTCCATATAAGGACAGGACTGGACTGTGTCCATATAAGGACAGGACAGGACTGTGTCCATATAAGGACAGGACTGGACTGTGTCCATATAAGGACAGGACTGGACTGTGTCCATATAAGGACAGGACTGGACTGTGTCCATATAAGGACAGGACTGGACTGTGTCCATATAAGCCCAGGACTGGACTGTGTCCATATAAGGACAGGACTGGACTCTGTCCATATAAGGACAGGACTGGACTGTGTCCATATAAGGACAGGACAGGACTGTGTCCATATAAGGACAGGACTGGACTGTGTCCATATAAGGACAGGACTGGACTGTGTCCATATAAGGACAGGACTGGACTGTGTCCATATAAGGACAGGACTGGACTGTGTCCATATAAGGACAGGACTGGACTGTGTCCATATAAGGATGTGACTGTCAAATCGGCAAATCTCTCCATACCTATCAGAGGGCCTTGTGTGTTGTATTGACATGTGTGTGTTGTATTGACGTGTGTGTGTGTGTTGTATTGAAGTGTGTGTGTTGTATTGACGTGTGTTGTTTTGACGTGTGTGTGTGTTGTATTGACGTGTGTGTGTGTTGTATTGACGTGTGTGTGTGTGTTGTAATGACGTGTGTGTGTGTGTTGTATTGACGTGAGTGCGTGTTGTATTGACGTGTGTGTTGTATTGACGTGTGTGTGTGTGTTGTATTGACGTGTGTGTGTGTGTTATATTGACGTGTGTGTGTGTTGTATTGACGTGTGTGTGTTTGTATTGACGTGTGTGTGTTTCCTTCCAGAGCTGCCTCCCCTCTACGCAGTGCCTCTCTGTCAGAGAGCACTTCCCCACAGCGTAAAAGGCAGAGACAGAGGAGCCCAGAGAGGACCACCTCCCCAGTGCGAACAAGACACCTGTTCCCCGTCCTGAACCCCCACCTCCACAGACCCGACTCTCACTCAAGGACCTCCCCCAAAGCTCCTGAGCCGAGGTGAGGCCCCTCCTGTGCTGGTCCTGTCTGTGCTGGTCCTGTCTGTGCTGGTCCTGTCTGTTCTGGTCCTGTCTGTGCTGGTCCTGTCTGTTCTGGTCCTGTCTGTTCTGGTCCTGTCTGTGCTGGTCCTGTCTGTTCTGGTCCTGTCTGTTCTGGTCCTGTCTGTGCTGGTCCTGTCTGTGCTGGTCCTGTCTGTGCTGGTCCTGTCTGTTCTGGTCCTGTCTGTTCTGGTCCTGTCTGTTCTGGTCCTGTCTGTTCTGGTCCTGTCTGTTCTGGTCCTGTCTGTTCTGGTCCTGTCTGTTCTGGTCCTGTCTGTGCTGGTCCTGTCTGTGCTGGTCCTGTCTGTTCTTATTCTTGTTTTGTTCCAGACCTGCTTCACTGCACAGAAGCTCGTCAGAAGAGCGCAGGAGGAGACGGAGAGAGCAGGAGCACAACGCGAGGTACTGGGTTCAAAGCCCACAGACAGGAAGGCGTTTCCTCTGTATGTAATAACATTATGGACATTATGGACCAATCATCTTTGCATTTCCTGTTTCTCTGATCCGTGTTGGAGAAGCCCGCTGAGATAACTACTTGTGATTTAGGGCGATACATAAATAAATGTAATTGATTTAAAAAGAACCGAGAACGGGACAGACATGTGGATCGCTGCAGAGGCTGCACCCATCCACATGTCTGTCCCTTTTCTCACTTTCACTCTTCTTGTTTTGTTCCAGAACTGCTTCACCAAGTCGTAGCTCCTCAGTGGAGCGCAGGAGGAGGAGACGAGAGAGGAGAGAGCGGGAGCGGGAGAGAGAAGAGCGGGAGAGAGAGCGGGAGAGAGAAGAGCGGGAGAGAGAGCGGGGGAGAGAAGAGCGGGAGAGAGAGCGAGGGAGAGACAGAGAGAGAGACCGAAGGTACTGGACTAGCATCAGAGACCCCGCAGACAGAGACCCCGCAGACAGAGACCCCGCAGACAGAAACCCCGCAGACAGAGACCCCGCAGACAGAGACCCCGCAGACAGAGACCCCGCAGACAGAGACCCCGCAGACAGAGACCCCGCAGACAGAGACCCCGCAGACAGAGACCCCGCAGACAGAGACCCCGCAGACAGAGACCCCGCAGACAGAGACCCCGCAGACAGAGACCCCGCAGACAGAGACCCCGCAGACAGAGACCCCGCAGACAGAGACCCCGCAGACAGAGACCCCGCAGACAGAGACCCCGCAGACAGAGACCCCGCAGACAGAGACCCCGCAGACAGAGACCCCGCAGACAGAGACCCCGCAGACAGAGACCCCGCAGACAGAGACCCCGCAGACAGAGACCCCGCAGACAGAGACCCCGCAGACAGAGGACCCCGCAGACAGAGACCCCGCAGACAGAGACCCCGCAGACAGAGACCCCGCAGACAGAGACCCCGCAGACAGAGACCCCGCAGACAGAGACCCCGACTCACTGTATGGTTTTGTTCCAGACCAGTTTCCCCGCCCCGTTACACGTTCCCTCAGAGCAGGACTGTTGCAGAGGAGGAGAGACTGGCCCGAGAACTGCGCAGATACGATGCACTGGGCTTAACCGCCGCAGAGAAGGTCCAAATGCGTTTGGACAGAGACAGAGCGGAGCAGGCGGCTCGGGCGGCGGCCTTCTTACCGGCGCGATATGTGTCCCCTCTGCGCACCAAGAGTTACTCCCCACTGAGGACCTACACGCCCCCCAGAGGAGCCTTCTCTCCTGACAGACGAGAGGAGTCTCCCTGGGACCTGGACGAGCAGAGTTCTGAGAGCGGGAACTCGGACTCAAAAGACAGAAAAACATCTGCACAGAGAGAGCTGGAGCAGATGACCAGGAAGGCACTGGGTAGCTCCAAAGGTCGGAATCTATTCTCTATCTGTAGACCCAGGACTGAGGCTGTAGACCCAGGACTGAGGCTGTAGACCCAGGACTGAGGCTGTAGACCCAGGACTGAGCCTTTACTGTTTCCATTAAACTGTGACGTGTGTTGCAGTTGTGAAGTCGCTCTCGGACCCTGCAGACCTCCCGGCGCTGGCCCAGATGCTGGTGCCGGTCATCATGTCGCAGATGAAGCAGATGAAGAGGGAGAAGAAGGTGAAGAAGAAACCGGCTGCGACCACTGTGAAGAAGACCTCTGAGTTCCAGGGTCCTGTCCTGAAGAAAGAGGGTGTCTCCTCAGACCCCCAGAAGCCCTCTGCAGCGCCCTCTACAGGCCTCAAGAAGAAGCTGGAAAATAAGAGCATCAGCGCTGGAGACAAACACAACGTGAGCCTGGTACAGAACACACGAGCCCTGTTTCCACCAGCTCCACTCTGTGTTTGTGGTTCTTTAGATGTGTTTGTGGTTCTTTACTGTTACTTTCTGAGAAGGCGTGGTCAGAAGTTACTTCCTGAGAAGACGTGGTCAGATGTTCCTTCCTGAGAGGGCGTGGTCAGATGTTCCTTCCTGAGAGGGCGTGGTCAGAAGTTACTTCCTGAGAAGACGTGGTCAGATGTTCCTTCCTGAGAGGGCGTGGTCAGATGTTCCTTCCTGTGAGGGCGTGGTCAGATGTTACTTCCTGAGAGGGCGTGGTCAGATGTTACTTCCTGAGAGGGCGTGGTCAGATGTTACTTCCTGAGAAGGCGTGGTCAGATGTTACTTTCTAAGGGGGCGTGGTCAGATGTTACTTCCTGAGGGGGCGTGGTCAGATGTTACTTCCTGAGGGGGCGTGGTCAGATGTTACTTCCTGAGGGGGCGTGGTCAGATGTTACTTCCTGAGGGGGCGTGGTCTGATGACGTTACTTCCTGAGAGGGCGTGGTCTGATGACGTTACTTCCTGAGAGGGCGTGGTCTGATGACGTTACTTCCTGAGAGGGCGTGGTCTGATGACGTTACTTCCTGAGAGGGCGTGGTCTGATGACATTACTTCCTGAGAGGGCGTGGTCTGACGTTACTTCCTGAGAGGGCGTGGTCTGACGTTACTTCCTGAGAGGGCGTGGTCTGACGTTACTTCCTGAGAGGACGTTGTCTGACGTTACTTCCTGAGAGGGCGTGGTCTGACGACGTTACTTCCTGAGAGGGCGTGGTCTGACGACGTTACTTCCTGAGAGGGCGTGGTCTGACGACGTTACTTCCTGAGAGGGCGTGGTCTGATGACGTTACTTCCTGAGAGGGCGTGGTCTGATGACGTTACTTCCTGAGAGGGCGTGGTCTGGTGACGTTACTTCCTGAGAGGGCGTGGTCTGATGACGTTACTTCCTGAGAGGGCGTGGTCTGATGACGTTACTTCCTGAGAGGGCGTGGTCTGATGACGTTACTTCCTGAGAGGGCGTGGTCTGACGTTACTTCCTGAGAGGGCGTGGTCTGACGTTACTTCCTGAGAGGGCGTGGTCTGGTGACGTTACTTCCTGAGAAGGCGTGGTCAGATGACGTTACTTCCTGAGAGGGCGTGGTCAGATGTTACTTCCTGAGGGGGCGTGGTCTGATGACGTTACTTCCTGAGAGGGCGTGGTCTGATGACGTTACTTCCTGAGAGGGCGTGGTCTGATGACGTTACTTCCTGAGAGGGCGTGGTCTGATGACGTTACTTCCTGAGAGGGCGTGGTCTGATGACATTACTTCCTGAGAGGGCGTGGTCTGACGTTACTTCCTGAGAGGGCGTGGTCTGACGTTACTTCCTGAGAGGGCGTGGTCTGACGTTACTTCCTGAGAGGACGTTGTCTGACGTTACTTCCTGAGAGGGCGTGGTCTGACGACGTTACTTCCTGAGAGGGCGTGGTCTGACGACGTTACTTCCTGAGAGGGCGTGGTCTGACGACGTTACTTCCTGAGAGGGCGTGGTCTGACGACGTTACTTCCTGAGAGGGCGTGGTCTGATGACGTTACTGCCTGAGAGGGCGTGGTCTGATGACGTTACTTCCTGAGAGGGCGTGGTCTGATGACGTTACTTCCTGAGAGGGCGTGGTCTGACGTTACTTCCTGAGAGGGCGTGGTCTGATGACGTTACTTCCTGAGAGGGCGTGGTCTGGTGACGTTACTTCCTGAGAGGGCGTGGTCTGATGACGTTACTTCCTGAGAGGGCGTGGTCTGATGACGTTACTTCCTGAGAGGGCGTGGTCTGATGACGTTACTTCCTGAGAGGGCGTGGTCTGACGTTACTTCCTGAGAGGGCGTGGTCTGACGTTACTTCCTGAGAGGGCGTGGTCTGGTGACGTTACTTCCTGAGAGGGCGTGGTCTGATGACGTTACTTCCTGAGAAGGCGTGGTCAGATGACGTTACTTCCTGAGAAGGCGTGGTCAGATGACGTTACTTCCTGAGAGGGCGTGGTCAGATGTTACTTCCTGAGAAGGCGTGGTCTGATGACGTTACTTCCTGAGAGGGCGTGGTCAGACGTTACTTCCGGAGAAGGCGTGGTCTGATGACGTTACTTCCTGAGAGGGCGTGGTCAGATGTTACTTCCTAAGGGGGTGTGGTCGATGTTACTTCCTGAGGGGGCGTGGTCAGATGTTACTTCCTGAGGGGGCGTGGTCAGATTTACTTCCTAAGGGGGTGTGGTCAGATGTTACTTCCTGAGGGGGCGTGGTCAGATGTTACTTCCTGAGGGGGCGTGGTCAGATGTTACTTCCTAAGGGGGTGTGGTCAGATGTTACTTCCTGAGGGGGCGTGAGGTAGAGCCAGGTAGAGTAGGGCTGGTGGAAACAGGCCTTAGATCATAGACATTTCTTTAACAAAAATATCTGATCTCCCAGAACTCTGAGCTCCCTCCTGAGACCGATCTGAGTGAAGCCAACCAGAAGAAAGACCAGGAGAGAGCAGAGAAGAGACGACCGGACGATGGGACCATTGACCACCACCAGCCAGACCCCAGGGACCATGAGGCCAGTCCTCTCTCAGACCATGAGGCAAGTCCTCTCTCAGACCATGAGGCAAGTCCTCTCTCAGACCATGAGGCCCGTCCTCTCTCAGACCATGAGGCCAGTCCTGGTCCGGCTGACAGTGACAGTCGTCCTCCGCCTTAAACAGATCAGAGATTAGTTTCAACATAGGAAATATAGGTTTCCATGGAAACGTATAAAACAAAGGATGCATTGTTTTAAAGCGAACAACTGGACGAACGCAACTGTTGTTCTCGGTGCTTGATAAGCGTGAATGGGACCCCTTTCATTTCACTGGGCACTGCAGCTGGAGTAAAGCTAATCAGTGCCTCCGGCACAGATTTATCAGTGTCTGGGAACCGCCGTTGGGGCCAGTTCTGACTCTTGAGTGTCGCTGGGAAAGCAAGAGGCTCTTTCTCCTGTTGGGGTCCGGGAATGATAAGACGAGCCTCCTGCAGTTATTTATAAACATGTGACCCTGTCAGAGAAACAGTAACTAATAAGTTCCTAATGTCACAGAAGAAGAAGACCAAGGTCTCTGCAGCGCCATCTACATGCCTCAAGAAGAAGGGGATGAAGAAGGTCCCAGCTGGAGCCATGAGGAGTGTGAGTCCCACACTGCTGCAGGTTTTCAGACCCCACTTTTTCAATTCTATTTTTGTGTAACGCCCTAAAACACAACAACCGTTCACTCTGAGGACTTCACAAAGTTGTGGATTCACCAACACAGATCAGAGAATCAATCACAGAATCACTGTGAGCAGACGGTGATAGTGCTCTAGTGTGTTGCCACGCCTACTCCTGAAACTAGACCACGCCCACTTCTGAAAGTAGGCCACGCCCCCATCTGACAGCAGCCAGCTGTGCGGCAGGTGTTGCCATGGTGATCTCCCAAAGACGACAGCGAGCAGTTTAGCTTCGCCGCTAGCTTAGCAGCAAGCTAACAGGATGTCCGCTGTATGGCAGTTTTTAGTAAACCAGTGACAAGAGTAAAGCGGACCACGTCGTGTAAAACTGTCACGAGCTCCTTTTAAATGTCAGTTTATCAGTTTTATGAATTCCCAGTACACAATATGCTCGTATCGACAAGTACTCATTAAGGCACAGGTATCTGTATCGGCAAGTACTCATTAAGGCACTGGTATCTGTATCGGCAAGTACTCATTAAGGCACTGGTATCTGTATCGGCAAGTACTCATTAAGGCACTCGTATCGGCAAGTACTCATTAAGGCACTGGTATCGGTATCGGCAAGTACTCATTAAGGCACTCGTATCGGCAAGTACTCATTAAGGCACTGGTATCGGTATCGGCAAGTACTCATTAAGGCACTGGTATCGGTATCGGCAAGTACTCATTAAGGCACTCGTATCGGCAAGTACTCATTAAGGCACTCGTATCGGTATCGGCAAGTACTCATTAAGGCACTGGTATCGGCAAGTACTCATTAAGGCACTGGTATCGGCAAGTACTCATTAAGGCACTGGTATCGGCAAGTACTCATTAAGGCACTGGTATCGGCAAGTACTCATTAAGGCACTGGTATCGGCAAGTACTCATTAAGGCACTGGTATCGATATCGGCAAGTACTCATTAAGGCACTGGTATCGTCTCTGAACAAAGTGGTGTCGGTGAATCTTATGTCATTATTTTAGTGGAATTGTATCAAAGATCAATGACTTCAGAGACAAACTAAACATGTCTTTATGTCACAGACGACAGACGGCAAGAAGAACGGACTGAAGAAACACACCATCACACCAGAGAACCAGGAGAGAGACCAGGAGACGGCAGAGGGAGACCAGGAGACGGCAGAGGGAGACCATGAGACGGCAGAGGGAGACCATGAGACGGCAGAGGGAAACCATGAGACGGCAGAGGGAGACCAGGAGACGGCAGAGGGAGACCAGGAGACGGCAGAGGGAGACCAGGAGACGGCAGAGGGAGACCAGGAGACGGCAGAGGGAGACCAGGAGACGGCAGAGGGAGACCAGGAGACGGCAGAGGGAGACCAGGAGACGGCAGAGGGAGACCAGGAGACGGCAGAGGGAGACCAGGAGACGGCAGAGGGAGACCAGGAGACGGCAGAGGGAGACCAGGAGACGGCAGAGGGAGACCAGGAGACGGCAGAGGGAGACCAGGAGACGGCAAAGGGAGACCAGGAGACGGCAGAGGGAGACCAGGAGACGGCAGAGGGAGACCAGGAGACGGCAGAGGGAGACCAGACGGCAGAGGGAGACCAGGAGACGGCAGAGGGAGACCAGGAGACGGCAGAGGGAGACCAGGAGACGGCAGAGGGAGACCAGGAGACGGCAGAGGGAGACCAGGAGACGGCAGAGGGAGACCAGGAGACGGCAGAGGGAGACCAGGAGACGGCAGAGGGAGACCAGGAGACGGCAGAGGGAGACCAGGAGACGGCAGAGGGAGACCAGGAGACGGCAGAGGGAGACCAGGAGACGGCAGAGGGAGACCAGGAGACGGCAGAGGGAGACCATGAGACGGCAGAGGGAGACCAGGAGACGGCAGAGGGAGACCAGGAGACGGCAGAGGGAGACCAGGAGACGGCAGAGGGAGACCAGGAGACGGCAGAGGGAGACCAGGAGACGGCAGAGGGAGACCAGGAGACGGCAGAGGGAGACCAGGAGACGGCAGAGGGAGACCATGAGACGGCAGAGGGAGACCAGGAGACGGCAGAGGGAGACCAGGAGCAGGATCAGAAGGACGGACAGACCAGTCGCCAGCCCCTCCCAGACCAGAGAGACCACAGTCCAGACCATGAGAAGGTAAGTTCCAACAGGTCCACAGGACACAGAGCAGGTCTTCGGTCTTCAGGACCAGAGCTGTTAGACATCAGCTCTTAGTGTTTTAATAAAGTCACGCTGTTGTTGCCAGAATCCTCCTCCTGCAACACCTCCTTCACTGATTACTGATGCAACCCACCTGCTGGGGTTTAGACAGAACAAACTTATGTATGGCCCCTATGTTTGTATCTGCTTACACAGACTGTATTTTACAAGAGATCACACACTAAGACTTCACTGATGCAAAATGTCCTCATAGTAAAATGAATCTGTCCAAGGACTTGTTTCTGTAATGATGTATTACTGGCTTTAAACGCTGCTTTGAGTAAGTAGTAATGTTTATTTAAATACCGCCTTTTCACTGCAGACCAGCGTCTCAAAGCGCTTTACCATTGTTGGTTTTTTGGGCATTTGTCTCTCTCACACAGAGATGGAAGGGGCCAGTACAGGAGGCACAGACCTGTTGTACATGTTTTTAGTGGTGGGGGAAACCGGAGCACCCGGAGAAAACCTACGCAGACACGGGGAGAACGTGCAAACTCCACTCAGAAAGGCCCTGGTCCAACCGGGATTTGAACCCAGCACCTTCTTTCTGAGAGTGCTAACCACTCAGCCAACTGAGTGGATAAAGGGGACTGCTTTAAACGCTGCCTCGTCTTTTTAAGTGGGAGAACTGGTGCTGACGGCCACCTTAACGTGGGGGAGTCTGAGGACTCGGATGGTCCTGGGAGCTATGCTGTCTGGGGCTTCATGCCGCTGGTAGGGTCTCCCATGGTACACAGGTCTTTATGCCCCTGGTAGGGTCTCCCATGGTACACAGGTCTTTATGCTCCTGGTAGGGTCTCCCATGGTACACAGGTCTTTATGCCCCTGGTAGGGTCTCCCATGGTACACAGGTCTTTATGCCCCTGGTAGGGTCTCCCATGGTACACAGGTCTTTATGCCCCTGGTAGGGTCTCCAATGGTACACAGGTCTTTATGCCCCTGGTAGGGTCTTCCATGGTACACAGGTCTTTATGTCCCTGGTAGGGTCTCCCATGGTACACAGGGCTTTATGCTCCTGGTAGGGTCTCCCATGGTACACAGGTCTTTATGCTCCTGGTAGGGTCTCCCATGGTACACAGGTCTTTATGCTCCTGGTAGGGTCTCCCATGGTACACAGGTCTTTATGCCCCTGGTAGGGTCTCCCATGGTACACAGGTCTTTATGCCCCTGGTAGGGTCTCCCATGGTACACAGGTCTTTATGCCCCTGGTAGGGTCTCCCATGGTACACAGGTCTTTATGCCCCTGGTAGGGTCTCCCATGGTACACAGGTCTTTATGCCCCTGGTAGGGTCTCCCATGGTACACAGGTCTTTATGCCCCTGGTAGGGTCTCCCATGGTACACAGGTCTCGGGTGACGAGTCAGACGAAGCGCAGTCCAAAACCACCATGAATCGCACTAAAAATATACCAGTGACGTTGCCCGGCATGGAGCAGCCGAGGCCCCACCCTGGAGCCAGGCCTGGGGTTGGGGCTCGAAAGCGAGCGCCTGGTGGCCGGGCCCTAGCCCACAGGGCCCGGCCTGGCTCAGTCCGAAGGGATGACGTGGGCAGTCCCTCCTGTGGGCCCACCACCCGCAGAGGGGTCCGTGGTGGCTCGGTGCTGAGAGGACTGGGCGGTAGTCGAAGGCGGAGACCTCGCCGACCCAGTCCATACACACAACATAAATACACTGAATGCTGTGATCCTCTGCTTTGTCAGGGTCAATAAACAAAGGAAGATAATGGCTGAATTCTTTCTTTCTCCTTCAGATTCCCAACGTAGAAGACTGGCCTCATTTCCGGGACCTGGTTGAACCCATTTCCAAACTGATCCAAGTGGAACACCTGCTGCTGCAGCTGCAGGAACCTCGACAAACCGTGAAGAGTCTGCGCAGAGTGGCAGGGGAGCTGTCCCACATGGACTTACCCTTCGACCAGAAGGCGGCCTTCTCTAAGAAAGCCACACAGAAAAAGGTGCAGTACTTTACTGAGCACCTCCACAGACTGCAGCACAAACATCTGGAGGAGGTTCTGGCTCTGCCAAACCTCTGCCACCTCCCAGCGGCTTTGGACTCTGCAGAGAAGAGCTGCACCAGGACCATGGACAACCTGGATGGACGAGCCAAGCAGAACGTGTCTGTCCTGATCAGCAAACATAGAGCTGGACGGGCCGTGGACACAAGGGACACAGACGGAGAAAGCACAGCTGCCACAAGGGACACAGACAGAGAAAGCACAGCTGCCACAAGGGACACAGACAGAGAAAGCACAGCTGCCACAAGGGACACAGACGCAGAAAGCACAGCTGCCACAAGGGACACAGACGCAGAAAGCACAGCTGCCACGAGGGACACAGACGCAGAAAGCACAGCTGCCACGAGGGACACAGACGCAGAAAGCACAGCTGCCACGAGGGACACAGACGGAGAAAGCACAGCTGCCACGAGGGACACAGACGGAGAAAGCACAGCTGCCACGAGGGACACAGACGGAGAAAGCACAGCTGCCACGAGGGAGACGGCAGCAGAAGAAGAAAGGTGAAGGAAGGTGAAGGGTTCCTCGTCCAGCTCGAGGAGCAAGGAGACGCAGAGACTAAAGACAGAGACTAAAGACTGACCGTGTTAACTCTTTCATTCTCTCGCCGATACTCGCCTCACACGATGCAATCCATCTGTTATTGGGGACTGTCAAGGGTCAGCACCAGCCCAGGGGTCTCCAACCATCAACAGGACACAAACAGCCGAGAGCTCCTCCTTAACACGAGTACTACCCTCGGGTCGATCCGACACAATACGGTCGTTAAAAATACAAATGTGTTTTCCGCTAACTTGACCAACTCTGGGTTATTTAGAACATAATGCAGGACCTAAGGTTTTTCAATCACTGGCAGGTCATTTTGACCCGAGTATAGTACAAGGCTTAAAGTCAGAGTTAGCCCCGCCCCCACAGCCTTTTGATTGGACACAGTTCATTTGAATCCTTGGTTGACAGATGAAGCCCCTCCCCATTGGTCAAACCAATCCAGCAAAACTTACTTTTGAGCTTTGTTTCAAGGGGAGGGACTATAACTTGGTACTACACTGATTTTTATTACATTTTTATTTAATATAAAGCCATGTGTGTGAATTTTTAGTTGGTCCAGTTTTAGTTAAATCTAGAGAAAAATCCAGAAAATTGTGACATTTATGTCACAGAAAAGTCATGAAAAAATACCTTTGTAGTAAAAAGCAATTATTAGAAAAGGAAATGCTTTCTGTTCTTCGGCCTTGACCAAAACCTCTGCCCTTAAACCATCAGGGAGCTATGGTTTGGGGACCCCTGCTTCTGGCTCAGCCAACTTCAGCTCTGCCAATGATGCTCGTCTCATTTTAAAGATGACGATCTTCAGTTAAAGAGTCTGAATCCAGGCCATAGAGAGTCCAGAAACAGTGGACTCTTGTCCAATCAGAGTCAGTCCATCCTAATGGAGACACTGATGATAATTATTATTATCTGAGGACTTGGATTTGTGGGGACTCATCAAACACACATCAGGGCGAGACTCTAGAGACCCATGGACCAGAGCTTTACGACACTCGACTTACACAGCTCCCAGATCTGCAGGATCCACAATCAAAGACTGTGAATATTAAAGACGTAGTCAAGCCTATCTCTGCTCTTCAAACTAATGTGACATCACTTTGGGCTTCAGTATTCAGGTCTAGACAGTCCACAGGTGTAGATAGAGGGAGGGGCAGGGCAGTCCGCAGGTGTAGATAGAGGGAGGGGCAGGGAAGTCCGCAGGTGTAGATAGAGGGAGGGGCAGGGAAGTCCGCAGGTGTAGATGAAGGGGGGGCTGGGCAGTCCGCAGGTATACAAAGCCTTGCAAAAGTATTCGGCCCCCTTGAACCTTTCAACATTTCAGGCTTCAAACATAAAGATATAAAAATTAAATTTTTTGTCAAGAATCAACAACAAGTGGGACACAATCGTGAAGTGGAACGAAATTTATTGGATAATTTAAACTTTTTTAACAAATAAAAAACTGAAAAGTGGGGCGTGCAATATTATTCGGCCCCCTTGCGCTAATACTTTATAGCGCCACCTTTTGCTGCAATTACAGCTGCAAGTCTCTTGGGGTATGTCTATCAGTTTTTCACATCGAGAGACTGGAATTCTTTCCCATTCTTCCTTGCAAAACAGCTGGAGCTCAGTGAGGTTGGATGGAGAGCGTTTGTGAACAGCAGTCTTCAGCTCTTTCCACAGATTCTCGATTGGATTCAGGTCTGGACTTTGACTTGGCCATTCTAACACCTGGATACGTCTATTTGTGAACCATTCCATTGTAGATTTGGCTTTATGTTTTGGATCATTGTCCTGTTGGAAGATAAATCTCCGTCCCAGTCTCAGGTCTTTTGCAGACTCCAACAGGTTTTCTTCCAGAATGGTCCTGTATTTGGCTCCATCCACCTTCCCATCAATTTTAGCCATCTTCCCTGTCCCTGCTGAAGAAAAGCAGGCCCAAAGCATGATGCTGCCACCACCATGTTTGACAGTGGGGATGGTGTGTTCAGGGTGATGAGCTGTGTTGCTTTTACGCCAAACATATCGTTTTGCATTGTGGCCAAAAAGTTTGATTTTGGTTTCCTCTGACCAGAGCACCTTCTTCCACATGTTTGGTGTGTCTCCCAGGTGGCTTGTGGCAAACTTTAAACCAGACTTTTTATGGATATCTTTGAGAAATGGCTTTCTTCTTGCCACTCTTCCATAAAGGCCAGATTTGTGCAGTGCACGACTGATTGTTGTCCTATGGACAGACTCTCCCACCTCAGCTGTAGTTATCTGCAGTTCATCCAGAGTGATCATGGGCCTCTTGGCTGCATCTCTGATCAGTCTTCTCCTTGTTTGAGATGAAAGTTTGGAGGGACGGCCGGGTCTTGGTAGATTTGCAGTGGTCTGATACTCCTTCCATTTCAATATAACTGCTTGCACAGTGCTCCTTGAGATGTTTAAAGCTTGGGAAATCTTTTTGTATCCAAATCCGGCTTTAAACTTCTCCACAACAGTATCTCGGACCTGCCTGGTGTGTTCCTTTGTCTTCATGGTTCTCTCTGCGCTTTAAACAGAACCCTGAGACTATCAAAGAGCAGGTGCATTTATACAGAGACTTGATTACACACAGGTGCATTCTATTTATCATCATCAGTCATTTAGGACAACATTGGATCATTCAAAGATCCTCACTGAACTTCTGGAGTGAGTTTGCTGCACTGAAAGTAAAGGGGCCGAATAATATTGCACGCCCCACTTTTCAGTTTTTTATTTGTTAAAAAAGTTTAAATTATCCAATACATTTCGTTCCACTTCACGATTGTGTCCCACTTGTTGTTGATTCATGACAAAAAATTAAAATTTTATATCTTTATGTTTGAAGCCTGAAATGTGGCGAAATGTTGAAAGGTTCAAGGGGGCCGAATACTTCCACAAGGCACTGTAGATGATGGGGGGGGGGGGGGCGGTCCACAGGTGTAGGTAGAGGGGGGGGCTGGGCAGTCCACAGGTGTAGGTAGAGGGGGGGCGGGGCAGTCCGCAGGTGTAGGTAGAGGGGGGGGCAGGGCAGTCCGCTGGTGTAGATGGAGGGGGGAGCTGGGCAGTCCGCTGGTGTAGATAGAGGGGGGCAGGGCAGTCCGCTGGTGTAGATGGAGGAGGGAGCTGGGCAGTCCGCTGGTGTAGATAGAGGGGGGGCAGGGCAGTCCGCTGGTGTAGATAGAGGGGGGGGCAGGGCAGTCCGCTGGTGTAGATGGAGGGGGTAGCTGGGCAGTCCGCTGGTGTAGATAGAGGGGGGGCAGGGCAGTCCGCTGGTGTAGATAGAGGGGGGGCAGGGCAGTCCGCTGGTGTAGGTAGAGGGGGGGGCAGGGCAGTCCGCTGGTGTAGATGGAGGGGGGAGCTGGGCAGTCCGCTGGTGTAGATAGAGGGGGGGCAGGGCAGTCCGCTGGTGTAGATAGAGGGGGGCAGGGCAGTCCGCTGGTGTAGATGGAGGAGGAAGCTGGGCAGTCCGCTGGTGTAGATAGAGGGGGGGCAGGGCAGTCCGCTGGTGTAGATAGAGGGGGGGCAGGGCAGTCCGCTGGTGTAGATAGAGGGGGGGGCAGGGCAGTCCGCTGGTGTAGATGGAGGAGGGAGCTGGGCAGTCCGCTGGTGTAGATAGAGGGGGGGCAGGGCAGTCCGCTGGTGTAGATAGAGGGGGGGGCAGGGCAGTCCGCTGGTGTAGATGGAGGGGGGAGCTGGGCAGTCCGCTGGTGTAGATAGAGGGGGGGCAGGGCAGTCCGCTGGTGTAGATAGAGGGGGGGCAGGGCAGTCCGCTGGTGTAGGTAGAGGGGGGGCAGGGCAGTCCGCTGGTGTAGATGGAGGAGGGAGCTGGGCAGTCCGCTGGTGTAGATAGAGGGGGGGCAGGGCAGTCCGCTGGTGTAGATAGAGGGGGGGCAGGGCAGTCCGCTGGTGTAGATAGAGGGGGGGCAGGGCAGTCCGCTAGTGTAGATGGAGGAGGGAGCTGGGCAGTCCGCTGGTGTAGATGGAGGCTGGGGCTGGGCAGTCCGCTGGTGTAGGTAGAGGGGGGGCAGGGCAGTCCGCTGGTGTAGATGGAGGGGGGGCAGGGCAGTCCGCTGGTGTAGATAGAGGGGGGGCAGGGCAGTCCGCTGGTGTAGATAGAGGGGGGGCAGGGCAGTCCGCTGGTGTAGATGGAGGAGGGAGCTGGGCAGTCCGCTGGTGTAGATAGAGGGGGGCAGGGCAGTCCGCTGGTGTAGATGGAGGAGGGAGCTGGGCAGTCCGCTGGTGTAGATAGAGGGGGGGCAGGGCAGTCCGCTGGTGTAGGTAGAGGGGGGGCAGGGCAGTCCGCTGGTGTAGATAGAGGGGGGGCAGGGCAGTCCGCTGGTGTAGATAGAGGGGGGCAGGGCAGTCCGCTGGTGTAGATAGAGGGGGGGCAGGGCAGTCCGCTGGTGTAGATGGAGGAGGGAGCTGGGCAGTCCGCTGGTGTAGATAGAGGGGGGCAGGGCAGTCCGCTGGTGTAGATGGAGGAGGAAGCTGGGCAGTCCGCTGGTGTAGATAGAGGGGGGCAGGGCAGTCCGCTGGTGTAGATAGAGGGGGGCAGGGCAGTCCGCTGGTGTAGATAGAGGGGGGGCAGGGCAGTCCGCTGGTGTAGATAGAGGGGGGGCAGGGCAGTCCGCTGGTGTAGATGGAGGAGGGAGCTGGGCAGTCCGCTGGTGTAGATAGAGGGGGGCAGGGCAGTCCGCTGGTGTAGATGGAGGAGGAAGCTGGGCAGTCCGCTGGTGTAGATAGAGGGGGGGCAGGGCAGTCCGCTGGTGTAGATAGAGGGGGGGGGCAGGGCAGTCCGCTGGTGTAGATGGAGGAGGGAGCTGGGCAGTCCGCTGGTGTAGATAGAGGGGGGGCAGGGCAGTCCGCTGGTGTAGATAGAGGGGGGGCAGGGCAGTCCGCTGGTGTAGATAGAGGGGGGCAGGGCAGTCCGCTGGTGTAGATAGAGGGGGGCAGGGCAGTCCGCTGGTGTAGATGGAGGAGGGAGCTGGGCAGTCCGCTGGTGTAGATAGAGGGGGGGCAGGGCAGTCCGCTGGTGTAGATAGAGGGGGGGCAGGGCAGTCCGCTGGTGTAGGTAGAGGGGGGGGCAGGGCAGTCCGCTGGTGTAGATGGAGGGGGGAGCTGGGCAGTCCGCTGGTGTAGATAGAGGGGGGGCAGGGCAGTCCGCTGGTGTAGATAGAGGGGGGGCAGGGCAGTCCGCTGGTGTAGGTAGAGGGGGGGCAGGGCAGTCCGCTGGTGTAGATGGAGGAGGGAGCTGGGCAGTCCGCTGGTGTAGATGGAGGCTGGGGCTGGGCAGTCCGCTGGTGTAGATGGAGGAGGCCAGGCTCAGAGATCCCGTCATCGTACCATGAAACAGACAATGGGACAACGGGTGAATAGCAATGAACAAACTACAGTCAAAATCCTAAAAATGCTAAACAGATAAAAGTAGGAAGGAGGAGAGTATAGTGCTCAAGTTACCATACTTCTCTATGCAGCTTGACTGACAGTCTGAGGAGGTTAGCCTTCCCTGATACCTTCCTAGCCATATGCTAAACTAAAGAGGACTGTTTTAAACCTAGCCTAGAATATAGAGACCGGGTTATAGAGAAGTTTAAACTTGTGGGGTACATTGCATTTAGTGAGTTTGAACAGTGATGCTGTGAACTACACTCAGCACTAATGACATGTGTGTGATCTATAGTTCCCCCGAATTCACCCTACATGATCTTTATCATTATCGTTAACAATGCACCCCCTCACACTGGAGCAGATTTATATGTACATTTTGCTGGTAGCATTAGCAATAATCCACTTTTCTGTGGCTTTTCTGTCTACAGCCAAACATGATACGTACTGACGGAGAGGAAAATAGTGAAACACGCAATTGACTTAAAAGATAAAAATGTCAATGTTGCAGCGCACATACAGGACAGTAGTAAGAGACACGTTTGACGTGTGTCATTGTCCTCCACATTAATGGAAATAAAATAAATACAAACTTGTGATTGCTTTATCTTGTAAAAAGTGTTCACTGCATATTAGGGAGTACTTGGATGGGTCAGTCTATGGTCCCAGTCCTTTTGGTTAATTGCCGCCATCGTCGTCTTCTGTCTTCATGACGAGCAGGTATCAGATAAAAAAGCTTATGTCCGTGCCTGTTAGTATAATCAACCGCACTGCAAAATGTCAGTTGTGGCTGTAATGCGCTGAAACAGGTTGTTTTGGTCAGGTGTCCGTAGGCTCCAGTTAGACTTCTGCCGTCTGTCATGGAGAGTGGGCGTGGCCGGGACGTCACATGCAAGGGGTCAATACCTGCTCCTCAGCCAAAGTACAAAGAGGTTTTAAAAACAATTGTGTGAATCACTGAGTTTTAACGTCACAACAGGCTTTCAGCTGTTAGGCTACACAGATTTATAGGAATAAAAGTGGAGACACTAATCACATGTTTGTACTTCACAAATGTAGAGTCCTGCAAAGAGCCACCGTCGCCCCAGACCTCGCCTCACGCCTCGAGGCCCCGGGCCTCGCCTCAGCCCCAGTACAAAGTGAGTTTTAAAGAAATGTGTGAATCACACTTTGAGATTTCAACAGTGATAGTTACTCATTCAGATTTACAGTCAAGTGTTCAAATGGAGACTTTGAAGAACTAATCACACGTTTGTACTAAAAATCTAGTATCTCAAGCCTCGCCTCGGGCCTCGTCTCAGGCCTCGCCTCGGGCCTCGTCTCAGGCCTCGCCTCGGGCCTCGTCTCAGGCCTCGCCTCGGGCCTCGTCTCAGGCCTCGCCTCGGGCCTCGTCTCAGGCCTCGCCTCGGGCCTCGTCTCAGGCCTCGCCTCGGGCCTCGTCTCGGGCCTCGCCGCGGGCCTCGCCTAGGGCCTCGCCTCGGGCCTCACCTCAGGCCTCAGCACAAGCGGCTGCAGGACCAGTCCAAAGTGAGTCTCTGTAAATATGTCCATTTGACAATTGTAGTAATTTATTTTCTGTCCTGATTTTCAGAGAGCGTGTGGATCATTGGAGACGGCCACGTACAGCGCGCTGCAGAGAGAGCGTCAGACAGTGTGGGCAGCCATCTTGGTCTTACCAACACAGTTGTCAGTTGGTTTGCCTGGGAGGGCATGTGTT